GCCAGAAGGATGTAATTCTAAAGGCATTTGGAGAAATGAGGTTTGGCAGATGGATATCTTTCACTTTGCAGAATTTGGAAATTTAAAATATGTGCATCATACTACAGGTACATTTTCAGGGTTTCGATGGGCTACTGCTCTTAGCTCTGAAAAGGCTAATTCTGTTATCACACATCTGTTAGAGGTGATGGCCGTTATGGGTATACCTGCACAAATAAAAACTGACAATGCTCCAGCATATGTCTCCACTAAATTGGAACAGTTTTTCAAATATTATAACATAAAACATGTAACCGGTATACCACACAATCCTACAGTGTAGAGAGATCTAATAGAACACTAAAAGAAATGCTCCACAGCCGGGTGTTGGTGGAACACGCCTTGAATCCCAGCACTCGGGAGGCAGAGGCAGGGGGGTATCTGTGAGTTTGAGACCAGCCTGGTCTACAAGAGCTAGTTCCAGGACAGCCTCCAAAGCCACAGAGAAACCCTGTGTCGGGGCTAGAGAGATGGCACAGAGGTTAAGAGCACTGCTTGTTCTTCCTGAGTTCAATTCCCAGCAACCACATGGTAGCTCACAACCACCCGTAATAAGATCTGGTGCCCTCTTCTGGTGTGCAGATATACATGGAAGCAGAATGTTGTATACATAATAAATAAATAAAATCTGTAAAAAAAAAAAAAAAAAGAAAAAAAGAAAAAGAAAAAGAAACCCTGTCTCGGAAAAAAAATAAAAACAAAACAAAAAAAAATGCTCCACAAACAGGTTGGGGGAACAAAACCCCCAAACAGCTGCAGAAAGACACTGGACTAGGGAAAAAACTGCAGAACTGAATCAGCCAGTATACTTCAAAGATGTACTGACCTCTGTATGGAAACCAGGACAAGTGTTACTTTGGGGGGGGGGGAAACAAAGGGTTTTCGCCTTTGTTTCCACAGGAAAAGAAAAAATTTGGATACCATCAAAGTTAATCAAGATTTGAGTCAAAAAAGAAAAACCTCTCGATGAGGAAGAATGACAGGTAACATACGAAAGTTTATCTCATAAACTGTATAGAAATCTCCCAAAGGAAAGGGAAGTGTTTTGCTTTTATCGTCACAGGAAAACTCATCTCCAGAAGTCAAAAGACACTGCATGGGTAGATACTTAAGAAGAGAAGGTAGCTATAACCATCAAACAAAAGGAATATCTCTCCTTATTTCCTAGTCCCTATTCAATTAAACCAATGCTGGCTTTAAGAGTTGGATTTGGCTTTCCTCTAAATCCAAGCACATTGTTAAAATAAACTTCAGAGTTTCTGTATTATATCAAGAAGCCAATTGATGTAATACAAAATAGGAGAAAGATTAGGGACTGCCATTTGTCTTTTCCTGGCTTTCTTCTCTCAAGGTGTACACCCTTTCATAATTCTTATTTTCCCATGGTTGCCTTTCCCGGTATGCATACATATACAGGCGAACATTTCTCTGCTAACATTTATGTTTGAGTCCCACACAGCCAATGAAGACCTGCTCTGAAAAGAAAATGGGCCACATCTCCTCCAGTCCACTGGATCCAACTTGCTTCATTTCAACTGACACTCTGGCCAGAACTTCGGGTACTGACTTCAGTCAACACAAGAACTTCAATCAAGATAAGGACTTCAACCTGGATCTTCAATCAAGCATCTCCCACCAGACACAGACTGGATATAACCCATTCAGGACATTCATCACACTAACATTTCTTCCCATGGGACCCCACGAGGCTGTCATACTCCCAGTTCAGCAGAACACTACGCGTCCCTTTCCCCACTGTTGACACCTACTTAGAGCTAGTTTCCCATTGTTTAAGGTTGGGTTTGGAAGGAGGTGTTCAAGCTGGACATCTCTTTCGGATACTTTTAAGGTTTAGCTGGAATAGTTATAGCTAAGATGTGACATTAGTAGATTATTATAACTTTGTGTAATTCACCCTTATGATTGTTTTGTTGTTGTTTTTATTTGTTTGTTTGTTTGTTTTTGGTTTTTCGAGACAGGGTTTCTCTGTGTAGCTTTGGAGGCTGTCCTGGCACTCGCTCTGGAGACCAGGATGGCCTCGAACTCACAGAGACCTACCTGCCTCTGCCTCCCAAGTGTTGGGATTAAAGGTGTGCGACACCAATGCCCGCCCCACCCTTATGATTGTTAATGGCAGATAACTTATACTGTTAAGTTTTAATCTTCAATTAGACTGAAAGGGGAATTGTAGGGGAAATGTTAGCCACGCCCTCTTGGGGGCTGGCACAGATGATGCAGACCACGCACACTAGGGCGTGGTCAGAGTGATGTAGCAAGACCTTAAATATGAGGGTCGAATGCAGGTGGATCTTTCTGTTCCATGGTTGGCCTGGTTGTACAGGACTGACTCCGTCAAGTGAGTACTTATATAATAAAACCTCTGCTCATCAAACTTGCTTGGACTCCTTTTCGGTATGCATTAATTGCGTTCCACTATACACATAAAAGTAAATAAATAAACAAAAACAAATAACAACAAAAACAACCCACACTCAGGCAAGATTAAGTCTATTCCCAAGGTTTCTGCTGATCCAATTTTGAAGGCTGTGAAGACAGGCACAGACACTGCCTGTCATGTGCTAAGAGAGGAGAAGAGGTCTGGCTGCTGAGCCTAACAAAACAGAGAAAGCTAGCATGGACCTGTGGGTGAGGAGTTGGTATGGTATAGTGCAGTAATGTAAGAGTTTCAAACACTGGACTCATCCTAATTCAAATTCCAGTTCTTTTATAACCAGATGTGAGGCTTGAGCAGTTCAGTTTCCTCATCTATAAGACAACAATAACAAGAGAGGCTACTAACAAGGGAGTCCTCTCCCACCACTGTTCTTCTGCCTGGGATAGGGTACTTAGCATAGGCCAGTTGGAAAGTAGCAAGGCTCCTCTTGTCCTGACTCAGTAGAGACCGACTCTGGAGATGATGTGCTGTGGAATAATCCTTCTGTACACTGTGTAAATTATGCTGTGATTGGCTTAATAAAGAAGCTGACTGGCCAGCAGCTGGACAGGATAAGTAAGGATAGATGGGAAAATCCAGACTAAGGACTCTGGGAAAAAGGGTGGAGTCAGTGCAGTTCACCAGGAGGCAAAAAGACAGCAAGACTTGCTAGAGGAGAGGTAAAGCCATGAGTCACATGGCAATACATAGGTTAATAGAAATGGGTTAATTTAAGTTGTAAGAGCTAGTTAGTAACCAGACGGTGGTGGCACATGCCTTTAATCCCAGCACTCGGGAGGCAGAGGCAGGTGAGTTCTGTGAGTTCGAGCCCAGCCTGGTCTACAAGAGCTAGTTCCAGGACAGCCTCCAAAGCCACAGAGAAACCCTGTCTCGAAAAGCCAAAAAAAAAAAAAACCAAAAAACAAAAACCAAAAAACAAAAAAGAACTAGTTAGTAATAAGCCTGAGCTATCAGAGGAGCATTTATAATTAATATTGAGTCTCTGTGTCGGTTATTTGGGAACTGGCAGGTGGGAAAGAAAAGTCCATCTACAAGGGTGATATGTTAATGAAGATGATAACTCCCCCCCCCATTTATTGTAGTACTTAAAATCTTCCATGTTGCTATGTTAAATACTTTCGTATAGTAAGTTCCAGGCATGTCAGGACTATATAGCAAGAACTTGTCTCAAAAGAACCCAGATTATAGACTGAACTGAAGATGTAGCTCCATGATACAGCACTTGGCTACTATGCCTGAGGATCCTGAAGGAGTCTGACCTGTGGAGCCAGACTATCAACATCTAACCTGGCTCTCAATCAATCACCCAATCAATCAATCAATCTTGGCCCTCACCCTGTGGACAAATAATATTATGTTATAGCAGCTCTTTGTTTCCATTTCCTCATACTAAGTGGGGCACATATTATCACCTTCCAATTTTACAATGTTATGCTGAAAATTAAATTCATTAGTGACACATAAGTATAAAATAAATAGAAGAGTACCTGGCATATAATCAGTGATTTAAAAAAATGTTGTTAGCTTTTATAATTATTCTAATTGCAATTTTGGAAGATTAAATACTAAGTTAATTATATTTTTGCTTGGTATTAAAATACCAAAATTTAGAGCTGGGTGTTGGTGGCACACGCCTTTAATCCCAGCACTCAGGAGGCAGAGGCAGGCAGATCTCTGTGAGATCAAGGCCGAAAGGCCCCAAAGCCACACAAAAAAACTCTTGCTCCAAAAAAAAAAAAAAATATATATATATAATATATATATGAAAATATAATATATATATATATTAATTCTAAAATATATATTTTAGAATTAAGACATATACTAGGTGATTATAAAGAGAAATCAGTGAAAGAGTAAGAAATTTTTTAAATTATTCTATTATTTTAAGTGTACGGTTGTTTTGGCTGCATGTCTGTCTGTGTACCCATTATGCCCATGTTTTTAAATTATTCTATTATTTTAAGTGTACGGTTGTTTTGGCTGCATGTTTGTCTGTGTATCCATTATGCATGTATTGCCTACAGAGGCCAGAAGAAGATACTGAATCTGCTAGAATTGGAGTTAAGACAGTTGTGAGCTGTCCTGTGAGTGCTGGGAATTGAACCTGGGTCCTCTGAAGAGCAGCCAGTGCTCTTAACCACTTGAGCTATGGCTGAGCCATCTCTCTAGCCTCAAAAAGGGTAAGGAATAGAAGCAGATCAGTGCTAAAAATGAAGTGGACAATGCTAGCACAGATGAATGCAAGTTTGCTGCACATATCTACAACCCCTGCCACGCAGGAGGCTCAAGTGCGAGGATGGAGAATTTCAAGAGCAACCTAAGCCATCTACAAGCACAAGTTCAATACCAGCTAGGTCTACATAGCACAAGCAGAAAGTACAAACAGAGAGGTAACACTGGGAAGTGTCACCTAGTAGAACTAACATGTCCACAGAACATCACACATGTTCAATAAAGCCAAAGAAATGGACTTATCAAGGAAAGACAGGTGGCATACACTCACTCATGGACTCTGCTGTCACCATAGAGGTCGCTCAGGCCAAAGCTGATGTAGTGCCAGTGCTCGGGGATGTTGGCAGAAGGACTCCCCATATTCCTGTACATGCTAACATAATCCAATGGGTCTGGACCACCCAACCTGCAAAAGACAAAATATAAGGTGTCAATTTAAACCTGGATACCAGAAAATGTCAAGTAAGAGGCTCTGCTCTACAAACCCAAAAGCCCCATCCTAGAAGGACCTAAAGCAAAAGATAACTAAAGGGCAGCAAAAATCTCTTTAGCAACGAGCCACGGGTGAAGCAGCTGAGGCTATTGACGCCTCATGACCAAGAAGCCCCCTTCTCTGCCCTCTGAAGCACACTTGCTGGTTGCACGCCTTGCTCTCTCCTGTTTCAAGTTGCTGACTCCAGCTGGAGTCTTCTATGGGGCCTGACAACATGCCAGGCTTCAAGGTAAGAGGTGCATCAGCTAAGCAGTGGCTGCGGCTTCTGCTGAATGACTATACAGAGCATGCCCAATGGACGTCATTCCTGGCAGTACAGGTATCAGTCTACGCCTGTCTCTTAGACAGCTAGTTCCTGAAAGCCTGGATTGTGCCTCTATTATTGTTTCTTCTAAATACACACAAAGCCTCTGGTCTGCACAGATCAAAGCTCATTCACTGAGAGTGACAAAGTCCAAACATCAGCTAGCCCAGCTCTACGCGGAGCACTGAAGCAATGAACCAGGCTAACCCTGTGAGCACCTGCGTGCTAAGGAGCATCCGAGTCATTTGTCTCAAAGAAGAGCTGGGACAATTCACAATTTGATGCTCCCAAGGCTCACATTAAATTTCCCCATAAATCCAACAGAGAAGCAGTTGAAGAAGATATTCAGTCATTACCTCACTAGAGATTTAATTCAATAAAAGTTCTTATAGTAATTAGTGCTTAAGCAAAACAAAACAAGCAACAAACAAAACTGTTTTCCTTAAGAATGGACAGGAAAGCATAGTAGACTTGAGAAGCACACTAAATGGAAACCATCAGCAGAACAAAGTGTGTACTGAGCCCATGAACTCCACATGTGAGCAACCACAGACTGTACTCCACAGACTGTAGAATCTTTGCCTGGCCCTGGACCATAGGCAGGAGTACACTTTGCATGTGGGCTACACTACTGAGGGACCGCTAACAACCAAATAAAAGACATGGTACAGGAGATCCCAGCAAGCGTGCCAGGACCATGCAATTCAAATCCTATTTTAAAACCAGTAAGTCTGGTTTCATCCTCTTTGCCAGGATGTTATTAGCCTTTGCAGAAATCCTTATTCTCTGGGGAAAAAGAAAAGAAAAGGCTAAGTTATTTATAGAACTCATAAGAAAGAAAGTCACTACAAATAATTTAGCTCTCACCTGAGTGAGTTAGGTAAAAGGCCAAGTCTCTATGCCTGCCTTTTGTTTGTTTTTTGTTTTGCAAGACAGGGTTTTCCTGTGTAGCCTGGCTGTCCTGGAACTATCTCTGTAGTTCAGGCTGACCTGGAACTCACAGAGATCCCCCTCTGCCTCTAAAGTGTTGGGATTAAAGGTGTGCATGCACCATCACCAAATCACTTGACTAAATCCATAACCAGTTGTATTTAGAAACATTTTGGGGAAGGACAGAAGAAAGAAAAGGACCCCATTATGACTGCAGAACCCTAAAAAATACAGGCTCCATATTCCCTCCAACTTCCTATTGCAAATCCCCAAGAGCCTTTGCTGCAGCCTCAGTCCATTGAGCAACAAGCAGTGACACTGTGCTCCACGTCCTGCTCCACCTGCCAGCACACTATAGCTCCTTCAGACAGTCTCCCAGGAGAGGGCATATCAAGAAGAGGCCTTAAGAGGAGTCAGGGAATGGCAAGAACCAAACAGCCTCATACCCAAGCTCAGAGAGTGCTGTTCTATCATCCACACTCAGATAAATGTTGAAAATCATGCTTGACACTTAGGGAAAGATGTGCTCTAATGGCCTAAAGCACCCCTAACCCTGAATTCCCTAGAGAGCAGCTGCAGGACTAGAGTGGACCCAGAGCGCCAGGCTCTGCCTACCTGCTTTGATCCTGGACTTGTTTTCGAAAAGTCTCAAGTATTAGTTGGAGTACCCCTGCCAGCCAGGGACCACTAGCTAAAAAGCCACCCCTCAAATCCAAAAGAAGTCCTATAGCCAGACTCAAGCAGTTTAGTACCCTGCTATGAGAACTGAAGGGGCTGGTAAGACTCTAAAGGTAAGGTTATGAATAAACTTCGGTATCTCAATTCTGCAAATCCCCCTGAGTCTCAGAAAAAAAAAAACAAAACAGTCCCTAAGTTGTTTCCTCCTATATTCCCGCATCTAGGTGGCCTTTCTTATTTCACAAAATGCTGTACATGCCTTCCCAGTTGTTACCACATGCTGGTCTACCTCTGAGGACACAGCCTCACTACAAGCTTGTGGTAGAAAGAAGGAAGAAAGGAAGGAAGAAGGAAGGAAGGAAGGAAGGAAAGAAAAGAAAAGAAAAGAAAAGAAAAGAAAAGAAAAGAAAAGAAAAGAAAAGAAAAGAAAAGAAAAGAAAAGAAAAGAAAAGAAAAGAAAAGAAAAGAAAAGAAAAGAAAAGAAAAGAAAAGAAAAGAAAAGAAAAGAAAAGAAAAGAAAAGAAAAGAAAAGAAAAGAAAAGAAAAGAAAAGAAAAGAAAAGAAAAGAAAAGAAAAGAAAAGAAAAGAATGCTGTAACTACTTTGGTCCTTTGCATAATGCTTCCATACCTTGACCACACAACTCTCATGACAGCCATGTAGGTAACAAAGCCAGTTGCCCTATTCTTTGAGGGACTTCCCCTCACACTTAAACAAGATCAGAGCAAACACACACCATGGAAAGGCCAGCCTCATTTCTCTCATAACATGGGACAAGTTCACAACATAGTTAAATATAAAGGTGCAATTAAAATGATTAAGTTAGCAAGAGCTACTACTGGTTGGATTTGTGCATGCCTTTAATCCCAGCACTCCAGAGACAGAGACAGGGGAATCTCTGTGCTTTCCAGGTCAGCCTGGTCTATAAAACGAGTCTGGGACAGCCAGAGTTACATAGTGAGACTCTGCCTCAAAAAACAAACAAACAAACAAGGTTACCAAGAGCTGTTTTCCACTCATGCTGTTTTCCGCCTGTGAACAGCTCCCACCCCCCCCCCTGCCACAGATGCACTCCTGGCTACCAGAACAGAGGCTGGTCCCCAGGCCCTCCAGGCTGTCAGTTTTCTTTGCATCATCCTCTCACCGACACAGGGAGTTAATCTCATCCCTGTACAGCCTAACTGCCTTCCCCAGAGGCCGCAAGGGGTGTTGCATAGGAAAAGGACAGCCTTAAAAGGGGTGTAAACCAGCAACAGCATCCACTTTCCCCCTTCAGGTCCACCTTTTGCCAGTACCCCAAGCAGTTGCCCCGGGAGTCTTCCAAGATCCACTGAAAGGGATCATCTAATACATTGAGTTCCTGCATGAATGCGGCCATCTCTTAGTCTATTTTTGGTCCAGAAAGACAATGAGAACTCGTCCCCATAACACCTGTTGCAAACAAGAACGGGAAATCAGAAAGGGTAGTTTCTTCCCGAAGAACAGCCCATTTGGAAACTAATCCTTTACTGAGCAACTTTAAACTTATCCTGGGCTTCCCAGGAGAAACTTCGGCTGAAATCCTGAAGACATGACAGGAGGCGCGTCTTCAGGCTGCCCCTGACCACGACTAAGGTCTCCTCCATGCAGTTCCCATGCAGTATCCCCTTCAATCCCGAGCCAAAGCACGGCTCACTGAGCCTGTTCTTCACTAAAGTCCTAAAGCAAAAGCAGCTGCAACGCCAGAAGCAAGCTCTGCAGAGAGAGAACTGTGCAGAGTAAGCAAAAAGTTTATCTGGAAGAGTGGCTCTGTCAAACTTCAAGAGCAACAGCTTCGTACTGAATGACAGAAGCTCCAGCGCTCGGGAAGGTCCCGAAAGAAGGTCTCCTCCTCAACTCTTCACTCATCAAAGGCACAATGCCCTCATCTTCCTCCCTCCTAGCCCACAGGGGCTTCCTGGTCCCCAGACCGCCCTGGACTA